AGCCGAAACTTATTAATAAAGCATTCATCATTTCCTTTAATGTCCGATTTTTTCGATTCGCAATTTTATTGGATTGAGGTGTGTAGGGGGCAGTAGTTTGATGGATAATTCCATATCCCGAACGTATCTCTGCAAAATGAGATTCGTAGTCTCCACCCCTATCACTTCTAGTCATTTTAATCTTTTTATTCAGATAATTGTCCACTTTATTCTTGTATTGCTTAAATGCTTCAATTGTTCCATCCTTACTATTAAGCAAATAAACATAGCAATATCGATTATAATCGTTAATAAATGTTATAAAATACTTTTTTCCACCACGAGATGGTGTGACTTCATATCACAAATGTCAGTATGAATTAAGTCCAAAGGATTTGGATTCCTTTCAACATATAAGGATATTTGACAAACTTAGATTTAACATATATTTGACATTTTAATTTATTACACTCGAATTTAGGCAATACTTCTAAATTAATTAACTTCCACATGGTTTTGTAATTGACATGTCTTAAACGAACATTCCATAAATCATTTGACTCCAATAAATAAGAAGAAGCTGAAATTTTGTTAATACTGTCGACAATCATTACATTGAGCTTGAAAAGGCCTTCTGTGAGGTAGCCTTTTTCAACATACATATCATTTTTACTTACAACAACTTTGTCAGATACAAATACACATTTGAATCCATTCTTAACAAGTAGGGAAGTTGAAACTGCATTTTTCCTAATAGTAGGAACATGAAGAACGTTGTTGAGCGTTAACACCTTGCCGGAAGTCATCTTTAGGAATATCTTCCCATAACCCTCAATCTTGGTTGTTGCAGTATTTTTCATGGAAAGCTCTTCTTCGGGACCAGTAATAGAGTAAGTAGCAAATGCTTCTTTGACAACACAAACATGTCGGCTCCATAGTCAATCCACCACTCCTTCGGATTTCCAGCTAAGTTACATTCCGAAAGCATTGCACATAGATCATCAATGTCATCATTCTTCTCCATTATGTTGGCCTGACCCTTTTTCTTGTCCTTTTTCGGGAGACGACAGTCAGGGGCTTTGTGAGCAGCTTTTTCATAACTATAGCAGTTGCCCTTGAATTTTTTCTTGTTATGCTCCTTAGTCTGTCCAGAAGATCTCTTCCTTTTCTTACTTTTCGGAGCAGCCTCTTCAACGATATTCGCTCCCATAATCGTTGAATTTCCACGTGACTTCTTCTCAGCTATTTTGTTATCTTCCTCAATCTTGAGACGAATCACAAGATCTTCCAACTTCATTTCTTTGCGCTTGTGCTTTAGATAATTTTTGAAATCTCTCCAGGAAGGAGGCAACTTTTCAACCATTGCAGCCACTTAAAATGCTTCATTCACTACCATACCTTCAACAATAAGGTCGTGAAAAATGAGTTGAAGCTCTTGAACTTGGGTTCCAACGATTTTGCTGTCTATCATTTTATAGTCTAGAAACTTGGCAACCACAAACTTTTTCAAGCGTGCATTTTCAGTCTTGTACTTTTTCTCAAGTGCATCACACAATTCTTTCGAACTGTTCATAGCACTGTAGACATTGTACAAATCATCCTCCAAAGCACTTAGGATGTTGTCTATGCAAAGAAAATCTGCATTTGCACGCCTCAACAATCATAAACTTTTCATTGTCTGGCATGTCGGCGGCAGGCACTAGATGGTCTTCATTGGTGAACTTCTGCATACCAAGCGTGGTAAGCCAAAAGAACACCCTTTGCTGCCATCATTTGAAGTTGGCTCCAGAAAATTTTCCTAGTTTTTCGGTCGGTAGCACAGCAGTTCGGCTTGACGAGGCTATTGTCGTTGCCGCAACAGTCGCAGAAGGAGTTCCATTTTCAATTGCCATTTCTCACTCTAGAAAGTTGACAAACAACAAAACAGTTTAATCAATGGCAGAAAATTAAAACAGTAAACAATATTGTAATTAATAATAAACAGTACATTTAATTAACAAAAATCAAAGTTTTTATATATTGTTTCACCAGAAAACGAAAAGTTTTTATGTTCTTCAAATCGTTGCTGAACTATGAACTTTAATACTCCGCTGAAGTTTTTATATCTTCAAATTAGAAATAAAAAAAATTCACAAGGAGTAGAAAACCACAAAGGTTTTAATCTCCAAAAAACAGAATACAGATTGAAGTATAAAGATAATTTCATTCAGATTGTTAGCAATCTGTATTAATTATAATATTATGAAACAGTAAACTTCCTGTAACAAAAACAGAAACAGAAAAAACAAAAGTAAAGGAGAAACCGAAAATAATCAGAAAACATAATCTAAAAATAAATTTCGAAATAAAATCGATCCCACTGAATGCACAGTGTGTCCTTAAGGAAATTATTTTCCTCAAGTACCCGAGGTGTTGGAATATTATCCTCCCAGGATAGACCGATTTGACTCACCAGAGTATCGGTACCTAAAACGCTGGTGAACTGTGAACCACTCAATGGTTGTAAATCACACCGGATTTTATTTGTGCAGAAAGTTCAGAAAATTTCGTAAAGAAAAATTCTGGGATCAAAACGAATTTATAGCCATTTTCTGGCACTGTTTCTCAAAGTTTGTAACCTTTCAGGCGGGAATATTTAAAATAATCCGGGAAAAGAATTTAAAACTATCCGGAAAAAAAAAACGGACCGGATCGCGTCGTGCGTAAGGGTCCTAGGTTATTCCGGGTTGACTTTTTGATAATTAATTAAATAATTGAAAGAAAATTTATCCAAAAAATTAATCAATGAATCGTTGGACGAAGCCGAGCGACAACGACGGTGCGGGGCTTACCTTCTTTCCAACCCATTTCATACCAAAGGAAGTGAGTTCTTAATATAAGCACATTCCCTTTTCTTTCCACTAACAATGAGGGACAATTGCTCTTTTCAAAATATAAGGGAACAACTCACTTTCCTTTCACATTTCTTCCCTCCATTTCCCGTTAACCAACCTACAATCCCAACAATGTCATTGTTTTGTTGTGCCGCGTGGCGGGGCCAAATATTACCAAATACCAATATAGCTCTAACCAAAGCGTCGGATGTGGACAAAGTAAAAAATATAGACTTTATTAATTTATTATAACCAAAGATGGAATTGCTTTTTTAAACTACATCCCTTTTAACTGCTGGTATGATACTTTTCAAGTGAATTTAATTAAATTAGGCCTTTAAAGCTTAAATAGAACAATAATCCCTCATAAATAACTTGACGAAATGGAGAGAATGCGCAACAGTGAGAAGTCTAATCTGAATGAGTCATTCATACCGGACTATGAAACTAGGGGTAACGCCTAATTATGCTTCTTAAAGTTTGATGTAATACAATTATTTTCTCTAAATCTCTTTTTATTGCAAGGATAAGCACTTCTTTTTGTTAAGTTCAATTTTTTTCTTTTTCTTTTTTCTCCTTTTTTTTGGAAAAAGCAGGACAAATTGGTTGATAGTTAAAGTCAAAATTAACCTACCAGATATTTTGAAGTGAAACAGACCAATACAAGAGAAAACAATCCTATTCCATGCAGGAGTAGAATTAAGCAACTCGTTTTCCAACCAAAACTGGCTTAATCAACTCCAATTCTACTCCGGATTTGGTTTAACTCTAATTTTACTTCCCAACTATATATACGTTAGACTACGTGCATTACTTTTCCATACTCACAAATTCCAAAATCACTCCAAACAAATCCCATATTTCTGCATTCTTGGTACCCAAATTGGTAAAGAATGTCTCTGTTTCATTCATCAGCAAGTGTTATTTGTGCTGACTACTTTGGCAACGAACTGCCATTGCCTCTCCCAGCTGTTAAGATACTGGAAAATAAGAAGAAGAACATGAATCCCAAAGATACAAAGGGCAGTTCGGTGCGCAAAGCATCCCGCGTTCATGCAGGATCCGAGGAAGGGCCGTACTCCAAAGATACAACAACTGCTAAAATCTTGAATGTTGGTGCAGCAACAGATAATGCAGTTGGTCAAAGCAAGAAGGGCAGCAGCAAGTATAAAGCACCCGGCTTCACTCCAGCCTTTGATGGCTTGCATCCTTTTGAGATGTTTGTTTCTCGTTGATCATCTTTCTAGCTTAAAAAGAACTTCCAAGAAACAGAGTCTTTTTTTTTGCCTATAAAGCAAGTTTTGTCTTGAACATGCAGAAACTTGTAACTTGATAGCTCTTAGGGGTTTCAGAAGTTTTTCTCGCATTATTTTACGTTTGTTCTGCACTATTTCTTGTGTGACTATTCTAATGCATGATTTAGTTTAATGGAACTTAGTGTTGAAAAGTAGTATTAAGTTTTGCATTGTTCTACTCTACCTGCTTCAATTGCTCAAGTAAAATCAAGCGAAAAGGTTTTTTATTTGTTTTAACATTAAAAAGGTAAGCTGTGAAGCAAACCGTCAGGGAAGGTTAGATATTACTAAAAACACTATAGCAAAATTGAGTGAGACCTAGTATTTCTGTCTCACTATTAGGGGGTGTCAAATGGGCGGGTTGGGTCAATTTTGGGCGGGTCAAAATGGGTTGAGTCAATAATTGGGCGGGTCATTTAGTTACTTGGGCTAAGATGGGTTGGGTCAAGATGGGTTAAAATTCGGATCATAACCCAACCCGCCTAACTCTTATTAAACTTTAATTAATATGTGTTATTTTCTTATAAATTGTATAATTACTAAATAAGACTTTTTTGCTTTTGTTATGGTCATATTTAAAATATTAAGCAAAAAATAAAATTATTTCTAAGATATTTTGACAAACTTACTCATGGATCAATTGGGCTAAAAATTAACCCAACTTTAAATGGATTGAGATGGGTTGGATCAAGATGGGCTAAGTTCAATAAATGGGCGGGTCAATAACCAACCCAAGGTTGGGCGGGTTGGGCGGGTCATTTGAGCTTGGGCCAAATTTGACAGCCCTACTCACTATAGACTTCCAGAGACAATGCACAAGTAAAATAAAGCAAAAGCAAGAGCAAAGCAGAGCTGTGTGTAATCACCGGTTTTTATTTTAGACGAATATTTTTACAGCATCTATCTAGTCTTCTCTTGTAGGGGTAATGAGAAGTATCTAGCTACATAAAAGTGGGATGTACACTAGATTTCTACAGCAAAGCAAAATAAAAGTAGCAAGATTTCTACCGCATGGCTGTTTAGCCAAGATTTTGGAGGACATCCAAGTTCCAACACCTTCCTTCAGATGATAATTCCACTAGGAATCAAAGCATCCTTAATGACAGTGACAATCCCACTTTTGATGAAGTATCCATCTGTTTCCCTAGCCGCTTCTTGAACATTGTCTCTGTTAATGATCTAAGGAAAGAAAATTCCACATTAGGACTCAAGCTCACATAAACTGCAAACATAAATCTAAAATCAGAGATGCGTGAAATTTCAAGGAATTTTACCTTCACATTGTCCCCTATACGGGCATTCTTGTCAATAATGGCTCTTTTAATGTGAGAGTTCTTGCCAATGCCAATTGGGACACTACCCTTTGCAGCCAGGAACCTCCTGTCAGCATCAGTCTGGACCAATAAAGAACAGAAAGTGAGTCCACAATAATTAACTAAGGCAGTAAGAGAACCAACAAAGTAGTTATTTATTTATTCTCTGTTATTTGACTTTAGGCAACTTGCTCTATGATAGGTCACATATGCAACAGTAAGTTTTAACTGAAGAAAGTCAAATACACGTTCCCATGTATATTATTAGATACTTTTTCCGGTGACCTGGGAATTCCTAGCTTTACCTCATAATAATCTGCCCCCATCAGAAGCGAGTCTTCTATAATTGCTCCCTCTGATATGCATGATCTGAGCCCGACCACAGAATGGTGAATCTTACAGTTCTGCACACAAAAAATGATTCCATGAGAACCAGCGCCTGACAAGTATGTACTGGTACATCACTTTTCTCCATTATCTGGAGCGTAGTTTGATGAAGAAGGACAAGGACGGAGATGGTGACAGATGTGTGGGCAATTCTCTTCATCCTCCTCCCTTCCTCGAGGCCCTAAAATGACAATAATTACTGCTACGACTCAACCGTAACCTAGTTGGGTTGGCTATCCATCTGCGATGTCCATTTCAATCAATCTGGATCTGTTTCATTACAAGACTTCAAAATTTTTCTCTACAGAAACAAGGTAGTATAAAGTATAAACTACTACCTTTTTCCTTCCAGAAAAAGCTTGTCCTACTTCCTCATAAAACTAAGACAATTAGATAAAAATGGAGGGAGAAACATCTAGGTAATCAAAATCTTAAATTTTCAGGAAAAAGCAAAAAAAAATTAAGTCAAGATCTATAACATCTAACATCTCCGATCATTTTCCCTCTGCTTCCTCGATGGCAAATTGAACAGCAACGAAAATGCAAGCACCTCTCAGAGAGGAGGACTTCAGTATACTCAACTTTATTCTCTATTCTATGTAAGCGTGATTTCAGTTATAAAGAACGTGCATTATGGATGAGGTCATGCAAAATATCGAACACGTCAAGATGTGTCTCACATGTTTGCTGTCAAGAATAACATGACTACAGTACCAGAATGAGATGTTCATGTATCCATGGCTTTTAGAGATGGGATGAGCAACCGCTTCAGAAATGCAACTTAGAAAATATAGAGGCTTTGAAACAATAATTGATTACCTTGATCACACAACCTTCACCAATGACACTGTCTGTGACATCGGCATCAAGCATTTTTGAAGGTGGCAGATATCGAGGTTGGGTGTAGATCGGAGCTGATCGATCGTAGAAGCTTCATTAAATATTAAAGACAATAGTGGTTAATCAAAGCGAGTGGGATAACAGACCATGAAAACTGCAGAGAACTATGTCATTGAGATGAGAAGAATTACCTGAAATCTGGGACTGGCTTTTTTGTAATGCCCAAATTGGCATTGTAGAAAGCTTCAATGGTACCAATATCTTCCCAGTATCCATCATACAAATAAGCTTGCACCTGAGAACACAGATACATAAGACCTCGGGAAAAGTTAAACTGATAAATTAAAAATAATTTAGCGCATAATTCATCTTTCCTTTTTGAGTTTCCACATTTTGAAGAAACAAAGAGACTAGAAAGAAACATTTAAACCTTGAGAAGGGCTACACAAGACTGCAGAAGAGTAAAGAGAGCTCATGTTCATAATCATATTTGGAAGAGAATTAAAGACGTTGAGACAATAAGGCCCACAGATTGCTTTAGAGGTATAGTTCTCTATACTAAAGGATGATGCAATATTTTATGCATTGTGCACTGCAAAAGCTTCACTTTTTGTGATAAGTAAAAATAATTGCAAAGTGTAACTTCTAGACAAATACATACTCTCATCCCAAGCGAAGTTGCACCAGGAATAACTTCACTACCAAAATCATTGGCACCAGGGAACTTATCACGAAGTAGGTTTAACATCACGTCTTTGCTAATGACATATATACCCATACTTGCGATAAAAGGCATCTCTTTAGCTCTCTCGTCATCAAGACCTAAAATGGTAGTATCAACCTGAAATACATCATAACACGAGTTAACGCCTGCTTGTAAGTTCTTTTGCGAGTGGTTTTGTATTGAAAAGCATTAGAACTATGATAGTCTTACTTTCATTGCTTTCAATTGCTCTCCTTTCGGCTTCTCTGCAAATTCAATAATGCGTCCTTCTTCGTCAATCTTCATGAGACCAAATGCAGTGGCTCGCTTTTCGTCCATTGGCAGTGCGGCAACAGTAATATCAGCATCTGTTTCTCTGTGGGCTTGAATGAACTTTTCATAATCCATTCGATATAGATGATCTCCAGCAAGTATGAGGAATTCAAGAACATTATGCTCCTCAAACAACCATAGATACTGCCTGACAGCATCAGCAGTTCCCTACAGACAAGTAGTCAAGTACGCGTGTGTTATGCCTCTTTGTGAAGTAAACTAGCTTGATATCAATAGCAAAATGCTTGTAGCAGCTTAATTCCAGGTGCCATGCACGAAACGAGACCCCAAATTACTTCTTAAATAAGGCATGTCTAAACAGCTCCTCGAAAGCTCAGGAAAATAGGTATTTTAAGTGCTTCTTATATGCTTCACAGTAATTGGTTGAGATCTGCCTCCGGTAATTAATAACAATAACAGTAATGATATGTGAATTGTGTGCAGCAGGAACAAAGAGTTACCTGGAACCAATTGGGGTTCTCCGGACTTTGTTGAGCAGCAAGAACCTCCACAAAACCCTCATTTTTGTATCCCCCCATGTTGCTAGCATACGCCCGTGAAAGGTGGCGATTTAGAGACGCAGAGTTGAATTGTGTGAGAACATAGATCTTGGATATGTTACTGTTCAAGCAATTGCTTACAGGAATGTCAATCAGACGATAATTTGCTCCAAGAGGAACTGCTGGCTTTGCTCTTTTTTTAGTTAGAGGATAAAGTCGGGTCCCAGCTCCACCACCAAGAATAATTCCCAAAACACTCTGCACCAAATCGCATTAACAATGCAAGTTTAACTTCACTTTTAAGAAGACATAAATCAAAGTTAAGCTATTGTCAAATAAGGCTTTCTGGAAACAATAAGACAATACTGTTAACCCACAATATAACAAGATTGATTCATATTATTTTTTAATGAAAATGCAACAAAGTTGACATCATTTTTTTTTAAATTGACAACTTGAAATGGCAATCTGCTAGTAATTGCAATTAAAAGGTGCATGGTTTAAGGATTAGTAGGTGAGACAGACACTAGGAACAATGCCTGACAGCCACATTCGGGATCGTAATGGCCTGCTCATGCTCAGATAGTCAGATCCAATGATTACAGTTTCCAGAAGATAATGCTAGTTTTATCAGATTTTCCAAGTAAAAAAATCATCAGCTTATGATTATCATGTGCATAATGAATCTTTGAAGTATGTTTAGCAAATAATTTTGAGTAATATTAAACAAAACGAAATAGTCCTAGCACATTTTTAATTATACACGTGATGATGTGTCAGAAAGAGGCGGAAGAGGTGAGAGGATCTTGGATCTAGAACTAAGTCAGTCAAATTACTTCACTCTGAAGCAATTCACTCCATCACTTCCATGATCTAGTTCCTCCAACCGCCGCAATCCAATCACTTCATTTTAGTGATAAATTGGAGAAGAGATTTAACAAATTTTACTACTTTTCGCACATTACACCATGTAGATTGGTATATATACTATATGCATAAAGATTCACGAAATCATTGATAAAATCAAACCGAAAAGAGTCTATTTTGTGCTTACTCGGCTAGCATCAGGGTCAAGACATGTCTGCGAATTCTGTGAATCAGAAACAGCCTTAGGCGACACGATCAGTGGACTCCTCCTCTCGCTGGAATGGCGCTGCTGAGAATGTAAGGTTGCCATAGACATCAGCTTGTCTCCAGATAGATGAGACGACGAAAAGGAAAGGTTTCGAAAGGACATTGCACGAGTAGCGTCATTTCTTCTCTCATTAATGCAATTTTGGGGAGAAGGCGAAGATTTTAAGGCTCCAATGGAAGCCATGGATATGCTCTGCTCTGCTCTACTCAGCTATTTCTCTCTGCTATGGAGTGTGTGGCAGTGAGTGTGATTGAAATTGAAACGGGGCTGGGGTTTTGTTTTTACAGTGCTGATTTTAGCGTATCAATTGTAACAATATAGACCTAGTTTTGTCAGAATTTACGAGAGGACCATAAAAATGATTGGCAAACAATGCAAGTGAATGAGGGTATTTTGGGGATAATAATTATGATTTTGTACTTTTGCTGGAAAAAATCTGACGAATGTACTATTAGAATCACTATTATTTTCCGAAATATAGGTCTGACGATTATTAATTAGTGGACGTCATTTCGCTAGTTTGAAGGAAAATTAGATATGATCACATGTGCGTGAGAAAAAGAAGGGGCTAACCGACGTTTATAAACCGTTCGTTGTAAAATGTGATTATTATAAAGGAGAAATAAATTGTTTAATCGAGATTTTGTTAGAAATAATTGCTACTTAAATGAAAGGACAGGTGAGATCTGGAATGATCCGAAATTGCCAGAATTGGTATACTTGTTTATGCTATGCTATCACATTCCCAAGAAGAGTTGGTGTATCATGTTTCAAGGAATTAATTAATAAGTAAGAAATTGTTATGAAACAATAAAAGTAGAAGAACAATATTGCAGACAAAAAGAGAGAATTCATATTGAATTTTGGGAAGAATTACAATAGAATAGAATCCTCTATTTATAGGGAGAGGGTGACTTAGCCATCAAGCAATGAACCCTAGTACCTCTCTAAATATAGACATTCACCATAAATAAAATTCTATTTATAACACTCCCCCTTGAATGTCTATTCAACAGATAATGTGCCTCGTTAAAACCTTAACTAAATAAAACCCAGTGGGAAAAATAATTCTAGAGAAGGAAAAAGAGTACACATATCTAACAATATGCCTTTTGGTTGCCTCGTTAAAAACCTTGCAAGGAAAACCAGTGGGACAAAACCTTGTAAGGAAAAAAGGGTACAACGCGTATTAACTCCCCCTGATGAGAGCATCAATTCACATCCTTGAGCCTTTGCATTCCAATCTTATGCACCATCTTCAAAAGATCTTTGGTAGAGATTTGATAAACAAATCAGCCATATTAACTTGAATGAATTTGTTTCACCTTGAAATCATCATTCTTGATAGAGATGTATTGTCTTCATATGATCTTGTTGGAATCGTCATTTCAATATCATCACATAGGGGAAAAAACTCATGCTATCATATTATCATGCGTATAATTATAGCAGGATACATTTGTGCACAAATTGCACTGAGGAAGTGGTACTTCAAGATCTAGAATTGGATATGCTTCAAGCAACTTAAATCCTTCATGGATTGTCATATAAGTTAAGTCATATAAGCCATATAATAGACTTTAGATGCATATCAAGTTTTCATGTCATGCTAGACATATAAGATATCGAAAACTGATTGCACATACCATTGACTTTATACTTTCAAGTGTTTGTACTACATGTTCAAAACTACATGTCTTCCATATGAAACCAATTCTATTCGAAATTGTTTCTCCAGACTTAAGATCCTCATATATATATTTAGCGGTATTATAGATGTCGTCGATGAACATTTTATATCGGTTTCAACATTTTTAATAAAGACATAACATAGAGATCTCTTCATTTATATTTTCAAGTACCTGAATCTCTCCTGAGATTTTATGAAGTGTTATGTCATGTGATCTTCTAGATCACGTGCCTCCTTTTTTTATGATCATTTAGATCATTTTCTCATCTTCTTTATCAAGAAGTTTATTTTAAACCGATTTGTCTATACGCTTTAAGCGTACCATAGACTTTGTCATTCTAGGACTTATTCTAATAGGAGCATCTGCAGTGAGAATATAGTTACTTTCTTTGGGCCAGCAAATGCGTCTAACATGCTTTGCAATATGTTGTTTTACAAATGATAATTTATTCCACGTAACTTTTTCTCAACTGTTTATCATGTCTCCCCCTCATGTTAGAAAAACTAACTTATTACCTCAACTTTGAGAATCCACCTTTGTGCGATATGGTGTTAATCAAAATGTACACCGCACATCAATAATAATAATAAGATGAAATTATTTGGTTCCTGACCCTGAACCACTTGTGAGGGGAGAAAATAATATACTTTGGTGTATAACGTATATCAAACTGATATAGATAACTTTATTCTCATTAGCAATTGTTTAGCTATTAAGTAGAGGCACTTAATAAATTATTTTGCTAAACCAACTGTAATGTAAACCAAATTATCAAGATGAACTTCTTGAATAGAAAATCTGGAAATTATGCTCGAAATTAAATTATTGAGCAAGTTACCTCGCAAAACATCGGCCAGGTTGCGGTTTATTAATAATCGCACATGTAACTATCTCATAGATGCATCTTATGTGGTATACATAGCAGATGAATGTGTCCATATTCACCTTTGAAATTTCCAGCATTCATGGGATTCAATCCCAATTTTAGTTGGTATATTAATTAACGAGAACATGCAACATAAGAGAATTCATAAAGAACTTTCTAGTTCTTTAATACTTACCCATGTGAATTCTCTTTTATTTTTGCACATCATGCTTAAATTGAAATGACTAAACTGATTATGCCAACTGGATAAATTATCATTATTGATAAAGACTAGGTTTACACCATGACGTGTGCAATTATCAATAAACTCCAAGTTTATTATGATATGGGTTTTTATATCAATAAACATACACTTTATTGTGGTATTCTTTTATTAGTGTAGTACAAACTGGAGAATAAAGTGGGTAACTTTTTACATACATATTACCCCGCTACAAGTTGTAGTAATAGAAGATATTAAATCCTTCCTTTATTTATAGTCTCAATATGACCAACCGCTTTCGCGAATACTTTAGAAACTAAATAAGTTTCTTTGAGACTTACTACAACAAAATATCTTATTGATAATCAATTTTATTTCTCCAAACTAGTGATAATTGGCTCTTTCAAAGCTCTCAATTAATTTTGTACTACCACATATTCATCAGCATCCATATGGTGAATATCACTTTTAAAGAGAAAGTTATACCATTATGGTTATGGTCAAAATTATATGCAAGATATGTTTCTTGCATTAATGTTATTCTTTAATAATCACATTGCCAAAATATTTTGGCGTACAATAGGTACGTGACCAATGACCATTCATGCCATAATAATGACATTATTTTCTTATATCATCTCAAACCTCTTTCTAGAGGTGAGTGCGTGGTATATTTACTACCACTAGCACGTTCATATTCTTCCAAGAATGAATATGACTTCATAAATCAGATGTTGTCACATTCACATCATGAATTGACCATAGTCATCTGTATGTGCTTTGAAATCTTATGTCAAATCGATGACAAACATTAACTTCATAGAGTGAAGGCTTATTTTGAGAATCCTTATTATTCTCATTACCACGATAATGGCAATTATAATTTCGTCTATTACCACGTCCACATCCATTGATACCTTTATGGTAATAATTTTATCTTCTTTCAGACTTATTACATATTGCTATCACATTCTATTAAGGGAATGAGAATGGAGCAAATTCAATGGGACGAGTTTTCAATTCTTTGCCCACAATCATACCTGAATTTGATCATGGCAAGACATAGAAATTTTACCACTTTGGGTGGTTATAATTTCTTTCAAACTCCATTAGAGTTAAAATCAAGATTTATTGTCTTTGCTTGTATTTAAAATCAAATTGTAGAATGTCAAGAATCTAAAAAAGAAAAATAAAGTAAGATACTTACCTTAAATCCAGAATTTAATCATGAAGTAAGTTCATGGAATAATTGACAATCATTATGCTCAATCCCAAAGCTTCTACTCAATTGGTTAGAGTCTTGTGCTGATAACGTGTTATGAAACAATAAAAGTAGAAGAACAATATTGCAGAGAAAGAGAGAGAATTCTTATTGAATTTTGGGATAAATTACTATAGAATAGAACCCTCTATTTATAGGGAAAGGGTGACTTAGCCACCAAGCAATGAACCCTAGAAGCTCTCTAAATATAGATATTCACCATACATAAAATTCTATTTATAACAAAAATAATTATGAGTGAAGCCCATTTTGCTCTGTTTAGTGAGGCTTAGATCAATCATGCGAGAAAACAACAAGTTTTAATGGACGATCAATTTTTTTTCCATCCAACTTGCTAGTGACTTTTCCCTAAACATCAATCTTGTCATAGTTCCTTTCTCCTTGGGTTTCAAATTGTTAAACCCAGCACCCAAGGAGTCCAGAATCCATTTGTTGTTCTTTTGGACAAGTGTGATATAAATGCATATAAAAAAAAAGAAGGTTTTGGCCGTTAAAGTATAGCGCTCTTTTAAAGATCGCTATATATATATATAACGCATTAAAGAACCACGTTATGCTGGGCTGATATGACGGCTATGTATAGCGTTGTATATAACTGCGCTA